CCAGGGTGCACCACGTGGAGGTAAGTCTATCGCACACCCCGGATACATTATATTAATTTATTATATTTTGTTTGTTCCCGGTGATATTCAGACAATCTTTTTAACGGAATTTAGGAGGTGAAGACAAATAAAAATAACCGCAAGTCGGTATCTTTACTCTGCTCAATCATTTTGAGCAAAAATACGGAATTTTTTCCAATTTTTTTCTTAAATAATTTTGTCAGACTATATTATTTATCATAAAGTTATAATTGGCAATAGACAAGGCATGCGCTTAAAGTTATACAACACAATCACCACTTTCAATGAGTTTTTAATGAACAGTTTAATGGGTGAATATTTTACTTTTAATTCACTTATATCAATCAATAATGCAGCACTTAGTTTGACTCCAAAGACTTAAGGACATCTGCAAAATGGCGATTTTGACTTAGACTCTGCCACGTTTGCATTGAATCTAAAATGTAGTCATTGTTATAGAAAACAAAGGTACTTCTAAACACAAATCCGAACAATTTCCACGAGAATAATGTCAGACGTGAAGGAATAGTCACTGATTAAAGGGAAAAAAACCAAAATGGTTTTGAAGTCCCATCCACAAACAACTGTAATCATTTCGTTTGCCTCTAAGCATTCTACTTTGCAATATGCTCTAGAAATAATAATAATAATAACCAATTACTATGGCACAGATTCTTCTATATAACTATTTATCACATTAAATAAACTAGAGCCAACATCGACTTAGAACTTCCCAGAAACCAACGTCTCTTATTGCATTATTATTATTATTATTATTGGTGGAGTAATTTAATTTTTTATCATTTTAGAGAATCAGCGCAACCTGAGGGCGAACGTCCTACGATTCTACGAGCAATGAGTAAAGGGACTTCAAAGTCTCAGTGGTTTTTTGCTTGCTTCTTGCATTTGAACTATAAATTTACATTTATAGCTATTATCACTACCCCTTAATCACCCGAATTTACAAAATTATCATACTCATACGTCATTATATTTCCAAAACTGGCCTTTCTCGTAGCTTTTGCTGGTTTGTGATTGCCATGAAATTGTAGCGACTTTGTGATTTAAATGTTGTAAATCGATTAAATTCGGTGTGTAGTAAACGGATAAATCTTGTTCTGCGAATAAATCTAGTTTGCTTAGGTTCCTTTGAGTTCCTGCACATTCTACTTGATAATATATTTAAAATTAGCTACTGTTATTTATTTGCATTATTTATAGGTTTATTGCATTGTGTATTAAAAGGGAAATGTAATCTTTAATCAATAAATAAGAAAAACTTTAAGAAGGCAAAAAAACATTTATGTCCATAGAAATGAAATGGGACATTTTGGATGTTTTTAACACCGTTAAATCTCCACTTGGAATCCTTTACTAAAGAGGGTCCCTTAGGATTGCAGACTAGTAAATCAATTTACATTAAATAACCAAAGTTTTAAAATAACATTGGAAAACTAGCGCAGTATAGAAAAGTCTGCAATGAGAATTCAAATGGATTGCAATGAAATTATTTGTTTAAATTGACACATTTATTCCCCACTGGCTTGTAACCAAAATTTACTGGATTAATGTTGCCTATAATTAAGGCAACTTTTGATTTATAATTTATGTAATATAATCTAAAAGCATTAATTGAAATTGTTTGCATATATATTAATCGTAGCTTGTTAAAATAATCATTTCAATTAAATTCTACCTCTTATATATATAAGATCCAAAAATTAAGCGAAGATATTAATGAAAAGCAATTCTTTGTCACAGTGGCTTCCACAAGCCCTTTCTGCGGTTTGTGCAGTAGACAGGGTTGTCATGGCTAAACAAAGAAATTTCATGCACTTTAAGTTTTGAAATTCGTTTTGACCACCTGTCGCGTAGGGAACAAGTGGGGTTATGAGTGCAGAGATCCCTCAGCCACCCGCCAATCAAAAGTGGCTGCAATTTATAACAAACGATTAATAGTATTTTAATAATTAAGCTCAGTGTCTCTAACTCAATAAAACTTATCGCTGCTCATTCCATTCGCTCTGTTTCCCTGAGATCTTATTAGGAAGTTTAGTTATTTCGGGAGTAATTTCATGCTCGAGGAATTCGACAGAGAGACTGTTTAGATTTAGTTTAGGTTTATACCTGAAGCAACCACTCCAAGTTGTAATGGCTATCAATATTTTTAATTCATTTTTCATGGGCATTAAAATGCTTTTTTATCTAGTGGAATCTCCTGCGCCATCCCTGCAACTTTTTTCTGCCTATCTAGAGTACAACAACAATTGTAAGACACTCGATGGCGTTTGATTTGACCAGTTGATCTCCTTCGGTTGGTCAAACCAATAAAGTTGTCTCTACTTCAAACAATTATCTTTCTCCTCTGTAGACCGACATAAATCTGTGCTGTAACCGTATTCTCATTCATGGAGTCTCCTAATTTCTCAAACGACCAACTATCACTTTGTATCCAATTAAGCCTGTCATCTGTGCTTAAGAAATTTCTTATGCACGGGAATTTAGTGAAGGCGATCTAAAATGAATTTCAAATTTGGCCAAGTCACAACTCAATCTCGGTTTCAGTCATGCATTGAAGAATGATAATCGATATATCACTAATAGGGCCATCACCGAAATGTAGAAAAGAATACTTATTGTCAAAAAAGAATTCTCAGTGGTAGATGTGAAAATTCTGAATTTCAGAAGTCAACAGCGAATGAGAAGTGGTCAAATTTGTTATCTTCATTTCAAATTAAAGTTTTCCTTTTGTGAACACTTATTAACGCAATGATATGACACTATCGAACTTAAGGCCATTCTCCTCAGTAATCTCAGCTTAACTAATGAGATAATTGTAAAAAGGAATTGTTTATTCATCCTAGTGATTTAATGATCATTAAATGAGCGTCTCAAGATCACCATTTGACCCGATCATCGATGAAATGAAAATTTCATCACTTTATGTCAACTTTTTGATTAAAATTTGTATGTGACCACCTCTACATCCGTATGCACAGAGAGCGGCTCAATAAAATATTCCCCCCAATGATTGCATACTCACCATCTTAAAACTTATAATTGTATGGCAAGAATGTTGCCGACAATTTGACGGTTGGTTATCATATATCTTCTATTGATAGGTGCAAAAAACCTCAGTTTAGTTTCGTTATGTTAACGGAATTAAGATGTTCATTGATCTTTGACAAGGACAACATGGGTACAAATAAGAAATATTATTTAAATAATGACTACGAGGGTTGACACTGGTAGAAATTTCTATAAGTAATTAGTTACGCCAGTGCCTAAAACGAAAGGATTATTTGAGCCAGCGATATGGTATTTTGTTTCAAGTAAATTCTACCTAAACTAGGCCATTTACAAAAGCTTGCTGTGTGGTTCAATTCAAATTCATTATATATTTCGAACTAATTTTAGTGCATGCAGTCAGTCAAATTTGCCAAGGGCCAAATTAAGGCATTGAGGTTATGATATATTAATTCCAATAATGAAGAAAGCATACAATTTATCCATCAACATACAAATTTGAAGCCCTAACCTCTCACGAAACTTCTGCTGAAATTCGTACAATAATCGTTAAACTATGTTTGCAAGCCTTATATGTTGCGAGGTAGAATTCAAGTATAAAATTTATGAATTGAATGTGCAGACAAGTCCCATAAATAAAATGTGTGTGAAAGTAAAATTCAGCAATAAAACACCTTTGGCATTGGCTGCCAACCAAAATTTTATCGAGTTTTCAGTAACATTAAATATAATTAGATAGATTTTGAAGTTTATGAGACCCTAAATATATACTTTCATGCTGCAAAAAGATATTTCAAAATATAATTTACAATATTTTGGGTGAAAGCAATAATATTAACATATGTTCTGGTTAATATTGTCACAAGAAACATTTAATATTTATAAACTTTGTTTAAGTCAAGTAATCTAGGATCACAAATAATGAAATTAGCGAGATCCATCAGATGTGATAGATGCCTGAAAATAAGGTGGATGCATTGGCAGGTTTGCTAACGGGTTTTTCTGTCCGATCGATCACTCAACCTCTAGATGTATTGAAAATCCGTTTTCAGGTTGGTGCATCTATGATACACATCTTGTTGTTCCTTTTTACTGTTTATAATTTTTTCAGTTGCAAGTAGAAAACATATCATTGAGAAATGGTGGATATTACAATAGTATTCCGCAGGCTATCGATCGAATAGTTAGGGAGGAGGGTGTGGGCGCTCTATGGAAGGGTCATGTTCCTGGGCAACTTCTTTCCATTCTTTTTACTGCTTCTGAAGTAAGTCTCAATACCTAAACCTGTTTACATTCTCTGAGGTTTTGATGAAAATATGCCTTATTTTCAAGTACCATGTCATGTTTAATTTTGTCACTTTTTCGCATTTTTGTTTATCGTTGACAATTTCAACGTACTGGACAGTTTCGCATATGTGGTCTATTGTCTTGTCTCTTATCACAGCAGAGCAAATGCTAGATTTGACCTTACGAAGTTGAACGCGATTTATGGACGAAATAGAAGGTGGAGAGGATTTACTAGATGATTTTAATTTATTTTTACACATTCAACGAATCACGTTTCTGCAGTATCTCAGTTCATAGCTCTTCGTAATGAATGAAATTTCCGTCCTGGTTATGGCACACTTATATTTTTGACGTGATTAGTTACATTTTTTAATTTTTTTAAAATGACATTTTTTAAAGCTTATTATAAGGAAGAACAGTCATGGAACCTGTCTAGTTTTTAACTATTAACTGGTAAAGTATTAAAGTTATATGTCCTATTAAGCATTTACTACGCAGAAAGTATGCTGTTTTTTTCACGATTTTGTCCTAATTTAAATGGCTTCAACTTTATTCGATTAGTTTTATGATCCCGTGGTTTAGCCAGAAATGAAAGGAAATTTTCTAAGTTGTAGAGCTCTAATTAATTGAAGATGGTGTGGTGCAACTACACATTAAATTCAAAGAATTTCGAATGCTAGCTTTTTTATGACCATGAAGTCACAAAATTTGCTAATTTCTGTTCATAAAATGACCACAATTTTTCGCATTTGATGTTAACGGTATTTACCAATCGAAATGAATTTCGCATGTTTTTATCTTCTTCTGTATTTGGTAATTGCCATATTTAAACCTATGCGTCTTTGTGTTCAATTCGCACTTTTAATACGAGTATTAATTATTTTTATTGTACGAACTAAATAAATCAATGGTATTTCAGTCGCCTCAACTCTCCTCTTAGCTGAAAGGAAGATGACCCCTGGGGCCCATTGGTGCTATTCCCCTATTGAACAATTTTTGTCCACAATTATTGATTTCACTTCTTTAATCTCTGGTGTGGCGCGTATATTCGTCTACAGCTTAGTGTCGTTGTCACTAGGGCAGTTCCATGGAGGTATACATTCGTCCACAGTGACTATTTGGTAGCTTAGCTTACAAATTTTGCTTTTAATGTTCATTCAGTGTATAGTTGAATAACCGTATCGGCTATGACTGCTCAAGCAGCATTTAATGTCTGTCTGGCGTTTTCTAGGTCTGCTTTGGGATTCGAAATTTTTATCCAGAACAATAAAATGCTATCTGTTGGTCTTAAATATAGCTGAACAGTTTGTTTACTAAGGAGTTGACTTTGGAAATTGTTCCCTTTTAATGTCTGAACCGAATTCTAAGCTCCAACATCTGTTGATGATGTGTACGATTTCCTAGTTGTACCTCTAATACCAGTATGTTTATTTGCAATATGACCTCTTATTTGACTAGTCGGTTTTCTTATTCAGTTACTAAAACAATTGTTCTCCTGCTTGAACCTTGGTCTTATGAACTGTTAGCACTTTCTTGACTCATATTAGGGTTGATACTCTGAAAATCGGATTTCAGAAGAACTATTTTCTCTAGTGCGAACTTTTTTGCTATATTTCAGTGTAGAAGACTTCGTGCACTTTCGATTTCGAGGTTATTAGTTTATGGAGCCACAACTTTCCTCGTACTCAGATTTCAATGAAAGCCTCTTGTATTTTTAATTTTAGTCTCTACCTGAGCCTAACATTTCAAAACTCCTTTCATTAGTTTCATTGGTAAGAGTAAGTTGAAAATTGTAATTATTGATGTGCAGCAGATCACGAAAATCCGTTAATACCCCTTTAAGAGATAGATCGGGGAGATGGGGGGATCGCATGGTCAAGTTAGTTTAGTCCATTTGAATCCGCTTTCACATAAACATAATTGTTCTCTATGTCATAGCGTAATTTTCTAAAGGTTGAATTTCATTGTTTGTCCGTAGAATTTAGATTTTGTTATTGATATTCGAACGACATCAATTAGTTAATTCAAATAACCTCGCTAAATGCATCTCTTTTCTAATTTGGTAGTAGCTAGCGTACTTTTAATGTTGCCGAGGTTATTCAATTTAATAGGATTGCAAATTGTTTTTTTAAGTGCCTTATGGCATCTGCCTCTTTAAGCTAGGTTCTATGAACTTTCTTTCAATGAGTTTGACAATGATTTGCATATGGCCATCTCTATATAGATTATTGCCCTCTTGATTACATGGCCCTTCCATCAATAACATTCCTTGTAAAATATTTTGGTTTGCATCATTTTTTGGCTGTCTCATATTTTGCGCCAAGTTACTTATTTCTGTTTAATTGAACTATTTTCGAATTTATTGATCTCTCTAGCCTCAGTTTAGGATCGGAAGGAAGAAAGGTATGTTGCTTCCATTCAATAAAATACGATGACTCTTGAAATGTTGATTGTATAGCGATTCTACTTTCTTCAGTTTAGAGATAAGCTCTTGTTTTCAAGCATTCTTTTATGTGTCCCTTTAAACTAAAAGGAACATATCGCTGCTTGCGCTTAGGTACTTGAGCATTATTTTGCCTCTTATTGCATTTCGCTTAACTTTCCAACTGATTTCTTTCCGTAATTATGCAGTAAACTTATCTCGAATATCGTCGATACGAGGATGGGTTAAAAAGTTATCTGACAATTGTCATCACTTTAATAATAACAAATATTTACAAGTTTACACATGTCTTTTGAGTTTTCTTGTTCGGTGAGGATCAAGACAGGGTGCATCTCAAAATAGCTGGCAATTTTCAACCCTTCAAGTGGCAAATTTTAATATTAGAGCTAACATAAAATTTATAGCTCAACTAAATTGAGAACCTACTAAGGCCATAGAAACTTTACAACAGGTTTATGGGGACTCTGCGCCATGTAGAGCAGTCATTTGTGAAGCTGTGAAACACATGATCCTCTACCCTTTGTGTGTTTTATTAGCTTACTAATGAATGAAAATATGATTAAAAGGGTGACTTTATGACCTTCTAGATAAAGTCAAGGATCCATTTTTCAACTTCTTGTTAATAATTGCTTATCTATACTATTTATTATGCTTGATATTCATAATTGTGCCCTTTTATTTGTAGTTCTACTGGTTCCATGCTATTACTGACTGGTATTTCCCCTATATTCATTGTCAGAAGACCGCTCTGAATGATGCAGCGGCAGGCGGAGCTGCCGGTGCAATCTCAACTGTGATTTGTCAGCCAATTGATGTTGTTCGAACACGATTGGTTGGCCAAGGTCATCATAAAGTTTACCATGGAGTTTGCCATGCTATAAAACAAATCTTGCTTGACGAGGGCCTAAGTGGCTTCTTCAAAGGTCTTTCTCCATCCCTTTCTCTCATTGTTCCCCAAACAGCCCTATCATTCGCTACCTACGAAAAACTCAAGCGTACATTTAGCGAAATTACCCGTTAGTTATTTTGGACAACCCACTATACTCATTACATTTTTAAGAATGAGTAGTTTTGGACTTTCCTTGTAGATAACTCATGTCTACTAACTCCATTCTCGGGTGCATTTGCAGGCTGTGTATCAAAAACAGCGGTTTATCCCTTCGATGTTGCTAAGAAACGATTCCAGGTTGTTGGCTTCGAGGCAGCAAGGCAACACTTCGGAAAATTGCCGACGAAAGCTGAAACAAGATTAGGGTTAATTACTTTAAGTAGTATGTGGCAAATCGTTGTACAGGAAGGAGTTCGTGGTCTCTTCAAAGGATGGTGTCCATCTATGTTAAAATCCGCTGTTACTACTTCCTTGACTTTCACATTTTTCGAATTTTACAGATCACTTGTTAGTGATGTCAACTCTTAGAAGTTAGTGACTATTTTTATGTATATTTTCTTCTTTTGTACTCAGGTAAAGTATTTAGTAAATTGATCTTTTGAATTTGTTTCTCTGCCTCTTATATTGCTATCTGATTATATGTAGAACATTGAAGGTTGATCTAATTTACATATGCCAGTGGGAAGTATGGTTAAACATTACTAATTGCTTGTTAATATTCGTTGAAATCAAACAAGTACAGTAGGCTCAAAAGTAGGAAGATGTAAAAGGCAATCATTTCTACACCCGAGGCACTAAGAAAACCATAATTAAACATTCTCAAGTTAAATTTATCTTAACGGTGAAATTTGGCTAAGGTTGTAGCCAGGATAGTAGGTTGCAAAATATCAGAGCTCAAGATTAGACTCGGCTGGGTTACTTATTGATCCTGTCAGTCATTGCCGTAAATACTCGGCATATACATTCGAGTAGATGTAGCTATAGCCGCTAAATTGTTACAATCGTAGATTATCCTAATTGAATTATAATTACTTTGTCACTGCTCATTACTCATCTATCCACTTATTCGTCTGTATTTGTTATCTTTCTGGAGGATATTAAATTTCCCCCCAACAGGCACATTTCACTTCTCCCTGTTTTCTGAGGACATGCAAACCATTTGTGTTGGAAGTTTATTTCCCAGTTTAGAAATTGGGGTTATCGGTAGTAAAGGCTAACGTGATTTCGTACGAGGTCGCATAAGTTAACCCTAATAGTGTAATCCCTTTATTTATTTATATCAAATGGCAGGCATTTTGATAGTTTCATTAGCCCTTTAGGTGACCTTAGGCCTCACAGAGAAGAAATATCAAAGTGAAAAAAAATCGAGAGAGGGGGGGGGAACAGAAGAGTGCTTCAAAGATGTAGAGACAGACACAAAGGTAGAAAAAAAGTGAGGTATTGTGGAAGGGGTCGAATATGACATACAGTGGGGTGATGGTAGTTTAAAGTCAGAAGTCAACTCCCGGTTTGATAGCCTTTTTGCCGTATGAGTATTCGTTACCCAGGGTGCCCCACATGGAGGTAAGTCCCCGCAATCCCTATATTGTGGCATACGAATGTCTTGTCAATAACTCGAAACTGCTTTAAAATCGTCTGATGTTAACCCATTCATACGCCAAGCTAGCAAAGTGTCCGTACCATCATGCTTACATGGAACATCTAACTTGGTCGGGCCATAAGTCACGATGTTGGCGGTTTCGTTCTTACAGGATGTTATTTCCTCCTTGAATTATTAAGCTACTTCCTATTCACAGTGTCCACTGCTTATGCTGGCATATTATTTACGGTGGTCAGTAGTACTACTTCATTTCATTTTTTCACTTTCAAAGGTCGAGAAAGTAGATTGATCTAGCAAAATCTTAACATGATAAAAGCCCGCTAGTATTCGATCAAGATGCACTCCTACTGACATTCACAATTACAAAAGCGAACACAAGTATAAAATATATGTGTCAAAATTCACAATAAATAGCTTGGAAAGTTGTTAATATTATCTTATTTTTTTCTGCACTTTGCATTGTACAATTCTCTTGCATTATCAAAGAGAGCCCTGTAAAATTGAAATAGACAAGTAGGTAAATAGATATGGAATTAGTGATAAATTTCGGTTGAATAGCCTTAACTCACCGTTCCTCATCACCATAAAGTTTTAGCAATTCTGAAAAATCAAGTTTTTCCCTGATATTGTAGCTCACAAACAGTAGACCATAGGATTGGAAAGTTCCGTATCTAAGATATTCAATTAAAACACTGATGATTATTGATTTCAAGGTCAAATCGCCTGACTTGCGCAACAGTGTAAGAAGACATTGCGAAAAGAATCGTGTCCAGAGGCATTCGTATCTCAGTTGACCAACTAGATAGCTGACAAGAATTGACTGGCCATCTTCAGACAATTGCAGCATAAAAGACTCCAGAAAAACTATTTCTGGTAGTTGGACTTTAGTCATCGTGCCACCAGTGAGGTAGTCCTTCAATTGTGCCTTCTGTAATGCATGGAGGCCCAAGTAAGTCACCAAATCGGCCAGAAATTCATGAACATATTTACCATTATGGTTGGCTTCGGAAAAAAGACGCGACTGCCTAAAGACAGCCTCAAAGTAAAGAATCGTATTTATTTGAATTGCTGCCGCTTCTCTTTCCTTATCGTTCGAACTTTGACCAAACATAGAAACATTAAAGTATCTTGATAAGTAATCTCCCGGCTGATTTAAGTTTGCGGGGGTTTCAGACCTGATATCCGAGTCTATTGATTGTTTTGCAATTGGAGGGAACCTGTTTTTTGCATTCAAAGTATATTCAGGAATTTCATCCGTACTTGGCCTAGCAAAAGCCAAAATATTCCTCAGGACAGATTGCGAGACTGAAATTACCTTTGAGAAGTAGTGATAAAATTCGCATATGAAGTCGGAATATTTATGCAGGATTTTGATCCACAGATAAATTAATTTTTCCTCCAAATTGTGCTTATTCCCCAATAACACATGGAAAGTCAAACTCTTCAGTAGCTGTGCGTAAATCTTACGGAATAACTTTCGTGTAGCTTCAAACTGCTCAACAGGAGTCGTGTGGTCACTAGTCTTAGTACAGTAACATTTCATCAAGAATCCATGTTGAAGTATTTTCATAAAATCTGCTGCAAACTTTGGCATTCGGCATGGCCCAAGTTGATGCAACAGATGGCCAAAAGCAATTAGAATGAACCTATGAATATCACCATGTTTCTCACTCTGATCCCGTTCATCTACTGCAGGAAAATGCATGAGGAGTCTTCTAAAGAGTTGCAATAAAAAGTTCGTATATGGCCTCGGATTGAATTCACAAGATATGTCTTCGTAATGTTGTATTATAGTCTTTCCCAGTCTGCCAATTACATGGCCCAGTAATCTCCTTCGTACTGGTATCAAATTTGAAAATTTCTTACTGCATGTGATTATTAGGTCAATAAATTCCTCGGATTGCGATATTGCGTTGAAATTAAGGGTATTATCAAACGCTAGTGATACGCATATCCGGAGAAAGGCAACCATTTTCGGTAAATCGGAAATGGTCTTTGACCAATTGCAAGAATCCATCCATTCAACAAGGAGCTCATCAAATTTTGAGGGATCATTTTGCTTGCGTTCCGCGTACCCACTGAACCACTGAAATATCGCCCTCTTTGTGAATAGCTTTATTTCCACAGGTTCGACTTTTTCTTCTTCACCACGCCAATATTTCTTTGATAACACCTCGCCCATAGTTTCCTCTAACAGGTCGCGATTCAAGAACGCGCGTATTCGAGCACAAGTGGAATTGAACTGGAAATCAAATTCTCGACAATTTCTATTGTTTAGCTTTTGCAGATTCATTAGAGCTTTTGTAGATTTTTGCAAATCAAATTCATTGAGAATTGCAAAGTGGGGTTTATGTGTGAGCCTGAAAAAGTTACCAGGCAGATATGTTGAAACATTTGCACATTGATTTCCATCCGTTGGAACCTCGACCTTTTCTGGCGAAATAGACGGCAGAATAAACCTATCTAGTAGGTCGATTAATAGCGTCACCGCACAAATATTCCCGGCCTTGATATTCAGACTCAGTAGATTATCAAGTCTATGGCGATCGATTAAACCTTCCTCCAAAAGTTCACTAATGGCTTTCCAATTCCAAATGAGGGAATTACTTAACTCCCTGCGGCTTCGTTCATGAGGTTCGCTCTTGACTAAACGAATCCACTCATTCGTTATAGTATTTTTGGTCCAACGTGGATATTGGAGCATTCTCAGCATTTTAACTACTTGTAAGTAAATATTGCCTATTTCTTTCGTGGCTCGGCTGTTGAACTTTGCCAGGAATAAAACAAAGATATTATGGCAAATGAGCTTATTGATTTGTTTGAAAGTGCAAGGCTTTTTATCAAGGATACTTTCGAAGACATTCCTTAACTCACTCATTGCATCCGAGTCAGGCCTGTTGGAAAAAGCAAGCTTTATCACCCTTGAAATCAGTCTGCAAATATCAAGAGCCAATTCCCAGTCACTCTGGGAATAACCTTTCTTTGAAGATGGAGTTTTATTCATAAAATGAGGCTCCAATAATAGGATATCCGTTGCTTTTCTAACCGCGCTCACTTTGAAGTATGCTAAACAAGCTGGAAAGAGTTGCATAGTCAAGGAATTTGCCAAAAGCCTTCTGGGTGACTGATCATTATCTCGTTTAAGTTTACTCAGTTCAGAGTAGATAAAATTAGGCATGGTATTGTAAATATGCGTCATAATTCGAATAGTCTGTGATTCGACAAGTGCAGTGAAGTCTTTTTCGATCTGCTGAATTTCCCTATGGCTGACAAAGCTCCTTTTTGGAAACCACTTATTCACACATTTTCGAAACCACTGGACTACTGAGTTCGATACAATTTTTTCATTGCTCGTAATGTATTTACCTACTGCGTAGAAAATGCACCAAATTTGGCCCCGATCCTCAATAATCGAGCGAGATTTTAATACTATATTTGGATTTATATATTTTGAACTTAATATGAGAAAGCTTTTTGTAATTTGAAGATCCAGGTAAGAGAGGACTTGTACGGAGTTCCGTATGGGGTGACTGCCTCCAATTAGATACTTCTTGTGACCTTCATAGATCGGCTTATTAAAAGGTATGACTTGCTGTAGCAAAGAATTTTCCAGAAGTTCCGACACGCAACCCCTTTCCTCAAAAGCAATATAACGATATTCGGATGACGATGCTCTAGTTAATGCATCCTCTCCGAATTTTTTCTCCTTTGCATTGAGGATTTCTAACAACTCCTCAATCTAAACATTTAGCTTTGAAATCAGTTGTTTGTGTATTTGCAAAATTTACACCTCTTACTTAAGAAAACTCTTACCGTGTGAGAAGTAGTGTGTACCGCTCTGCCACCTTTATGATTGAGATATTCTAACACAAATGTTATAGCATAAGCTTGAACGTTTTGACTATATTGCTTAGATTGTTGCAAAAGTTCTTTCACGTTGAAATCGAAATTGAAAAATTTCGAAGGACTACGAAGAGTAGTTAACAGTCTCAGAGACCGCCCGAGACACAAAAGACCAACTCTCTTTTCTCTATCAATACCACTTGCAGGAAGGCGTCTAAGTATAGCCTAGGGAAATAAAGAGTGTTGGAAGCAACGTTTTGAGTAGAAAAGTAGAGAACAACAACTTTTCCTTCACATACCTTGACTGCCTTCAAAATTTCAGAGATTGCAAGTTCAAGGCTGCAAGGAAACCGATGGTCAATGCAATCCACTATAACTGGGAATGCTTTCAAGAGTGTTCCATCTTCCACAACTCGTTTGTTTATGAGGTAAGCCAAAAACCATTTGACCGAAACTGGAGTTAAAAGATCGCTAAGCTCATGAGATTTAGAAACCACATTGATCTCATTGATTGTGTCGAGAACTAAAGCCAGGTGAATTTGGTAAATATACTTCATGTGCTGAGGACGCTGTGAATGCTCTGGTACGTTTCCACTTCGTGGGTGTTCAACCTTTCATTATAGAAGGAAGGCAAAAAAATCATTTTAAAGCTTAAGTTTTAAAAGTAGGTATGATTAATACATAAAATGTTTCCTTAACGTATCATTTACTCATTTCATACAAGACCAAGAAGCCCTTTGAGAGATAATTCTTATCTCATTGAAATTCGAACTCTTCCAAAATTAGTTCACTTTTTAATTTTCGGATTAGCCTATCTCAGATAACATCAGAGACATCTTTTTATTGCTGAGATTTGTTATTGTATCTATGTAATAATAGTATGGCTGTAATATATGCACATCTATCTAAATCTTTAAAAGCAAATTCTGTTTGCATATATCATTAAATAAATAAATAAAAAATTATTCAAACTTGGTCCTGAGAGAATGACATACTTTACCCCCCCCCCCCCCCCCCCCCCACCCCTTTTATCGTTTGTAAAACTAGAACATTTTGTAACCACTGTGTCCTACCGATCGCATTGTTACAAGGTTACTAAATGTGGGCTGAGTTATAAACCACACCAGCCAATCAGCTCATAACAACAGGGACTCAGAATTTACCAATGAGACCTAGAACCCTAGATAAACTCAAAAGCAGTCTTCATACTGCTTTCGACTGCAGTAACCACAATATCGAGGTAACTTCTCTTTCCTACCTATATTCCCGCTTCTTTAGCTTGCAACCAATGAAAGGCATCTGTCCTTTTAAAGTCACTATAGTACGCTGACAGCAAATGCATTATTGACTGAGATTAATCTACAGTGAACCAGTGCTTTAGCGTCTTTAGGTTGCACTACGTAGAGGGCAGGTATCTTTGAGCCGATTTTATAGGAACTTTGTAACCTACCACCTCTTCTGCTGACCATAATTAATTATACCACTAGATCGTTGTAACTATGGGCATTAATCGATCCGACTCGGTACATCCAAACTATGCAAACCTGCACCCACATTGTACAACTACTTTAACTGTTTTCTTCTAAATATTCTAAAGGTCAAATTGCTGATTCTTTAGATAATATAATTAATTTGGGCTATGCGATAGACCTACCTCCACGTGGTGCATCCTGAACAACGTATATTCATACGGCAAAAAATTCTATTAACTGGCA